ATAGGCAAGGTACGGTCCGGCATATTAGATAGTACCCAGGGTACGTTCCGGCAGTACCCTGGGGTACATAGACCTTCTCAGTGTTTCTGACAGTCCCCTGGCTGGTTATATCTAGCAAGGCACTAAATAGTGCTGGCTACTTACACATTTGCATGCAATATTCTTAGTTGAGTTTAAAAAATCACAGCAATACAGAGTACTAACGGTTTACATTCAAACATTTTCCTGTATAGCCACTAACTTACAGTGTATAAGAAGTAGATGGTGATATACTTGATAGTATCTAGTGATAGCAGGGTTATCTCCAGGAATTTTAAAAAGCATGTCGGTTATGGACTGTTGGGGTGACCCTGGGAGGGATGTTTTACCAATTGGAGTAAATTACACATGGCATAGGTGTGCTCAATACACAGGTAAACTGTATCAGTTTGGAGACGTATAAATCCAGCTGTGAAAACACAGCATGACTGTGTTGAGATTGTGGAAAGTAAACATTGCTGGAAATTAAGAAATGGCGATTAGACAATTAAGGCATGTCAGGGATTTATGGGATGTCTCAAATTAGTTTTAGCTTTGAAGACATGTCAGTTCTGTGATACGTTAAAGAACTGGGGAAAACCCTGTATCGTATAAGTACACTGTTGTCCATACCTCTGTATGGGAAGGCAACATTTCAGATACTTTAGGTTCTTATTTTTGTCTCATACAAATTACACAAAAACTGGAGGACATTTTATCAGTCAAGGCACTTTATATGGCAATTGCCATATTTCTCTTACTTTTACAAAGCTTACACTTACAGTGTAGAAATATATGGCATATCCTGGTTACGAAACAATTCCATCTGGTGAAGGAGTGTTGCGTGACAATGTGATTTACATTTTGTGTTACACCTTGAAATTGATTAGGTGTTGGTAGTATAAGGGCTAGGTGTTAAATGTAATTTTACCCATGTGGCCAGATTGTCGGATATAGGCGATTACTAGATGGGATTTATTATCAACTGGGCACAGCTTGAGAAGTGTCTTCTTCTTTGATGTTCGAAATCAAAGTAGCATGTATATGCCTTCTGTAGATTACGAGTAAAGAACTGGCATTCTTGGTACCTGAGTAGTATCCACTGCCTTATTTATACCTTCTTTTCGACGTGCATGGAGACTGCCAATTTCCCCAACTGCAAATTCATTTATGATGTATAATAGATCATTACTTTTTATTTTTATTTTTTGTTCACAGTTGTAATTTTTGTTGTGATCTAAAGCAATTGTTGCAATTTTTAGATCTAACCTGGCATCACTGTTTGGCATGGATCAGGCAGCCAGTAAGAGTGGAAACAATGCATTAGTTTACACAGCTCCAAAACAGCCCCGAAAGCAGCAGGGGCATCAGGGCAATGAACAGTCGAGTAAGTATGTAGTTAGTATGGTATTCATGTGGAATGTAAGTTTGTCAGCATTATCTATGTTGCATTCACAATTAAAGCACAGATAATGCTTTACTTTAACTGTGAATGAGATGTCAGTAAGGTTATATTCAGTGTTACATGAACAGTTGGGAATGTTGTTACTATATATCACTGGCATGTTAATTCCTTGTTCTACTACAGGAGACAATCAAGATGATCCTGGGGGAAAAGCACTTGCAGTTCTCTATGCTGTAGCAACTAATGTCTTCAAATAGTAAGTCATTTGTGAATCTATGGACTGCAGCCAACTAATGACAATCTACCTAGATTTACCTATACACAGAGAAAATGTACCTATATTGAATACATAGCATGATTTTGTCTAACAAGTTCGGGTTGCTTACATCATAGTCTTGCATGCTGTCCTTTTGCAGCATTGATGGACAGTTTGCTAAGCAAGGCAGGCTTGGTGCAGCTATCCTAGGAGCTACAGGAGAGGTAATACATTGACTTTGAGATGTTATTGTAAATGCAACTCATGTTGACTGCTAGGTAGGAATTGCGAGATGTATTTATGTGATATGTGACCTTGCATTTAGTGGAGCTCAAATGTTATCATACAGGGGTTCACCAAAGCTAGGCTTACAAGTGAAAATTATTTATGGAAACACCTTACAAGTCAGGCATAAAACTTATTTTTAGGAAGTCAAATATATCAGAAATTATTTTCTAATGTTGAAACTTTAAACTTAAAAACTTTAAACCTATAAAAAAATTGTTCATATAGAAAGGAAATCAGTCAGAAATGCACCATTCTAAATTTTCTGTAGAAAGCCGTTTGCGCATTTGAGACATGAGTGATGCATATAGTGGCATGACCTTATAGCACGCAAGCTAAAATCCACATATGAAAATGTCTGCTTGAAATAATTGTGTGCAGAAAACTCAGACGAACTTGACAAAAACTCATTGGAATCATCACTTGTATTAAATTCACTTTTGGAAAACACCTCCATTACAATTGTGAAATCTGAGAAGAAGAATTTGTGTAGCGCTTTAACATCACTGTCACCAGGATTGCATGAACAGTATGTAGAATATGGAAAATAACATGGTGCTGCATTAAAACCTCTATTTAAAGATATGTTTATTTATAATCTTTCATATTTTATTATACATATTTTTTTGGCAAGGATGTCATGCATTTAGGTTAGTTTAATTATGCAAATTGGTTGCAAAATTTATAACGTGAAATCTCATTATTTCAGTTCCACAAGTTGCTGCTATATATGGGCAAGCAGCAAACAGTGACACAGGCAGTGATTGGTCGCACGTTTGCATTTACAGTAGGTATCTCTTTCGTAGTTAATTATACCCCCCCCCACCCCCTGCCAACGAACTTAGGGGGTATTACTGGAAATCACCCTGTCTGTCTGTGTGTTCGACAGCAGCTTTGTGCACAGATCTTCTCGAAAAGTACTTGACCAATTTCAACACATCATCAGTACGCAAGGTAGTTGTCGACCTGCGATAAATCTTTTGCGTCCGACATTTTCGGAAAGATTTATGGCCGTTTTCCGTAACTAACCCCACTTGTTTATATATGACATGTTGACGCCATCTAGTGGATCATTTCATACATAACTGCAGAGTACAATTCAAATGCCCCGGCGCGGCGTTTAATTCGGGCCAGCTGTTTGCCAAATCTCCCCCTTCAGATAAGAGCAGTGCCACATATAAATAACGGCCCCAAAATGTGGTGTATAATCCATCTCTCTCTCTCTCTCTCTCTTACTCTCTCTCTCTCTCCTCTCTCTCTCATCTCTCTCTCTCTCTCTCTCTCTCTCTCTCTCTCTCTCTCTCTCTCTCTCTCTCCTCTCTCTCCTCTTTCTCTCTCTCGTC